ACCCGTTGGATAGGAGGCTGGGTGGGCCACAGAGTCGGCCTGGGCGCTGTGGAGGAAAGAAAACTCTTTTACCTCTGCCAGGAATCGAGCCCCGGTCGTCCAGTCCTTAGCCTGGTCGCTATAGCTACTGAGCTATCCAGGATCCTGCAGGCAGTATTATCCACTCTTATTCAGACGGTATCTTGCACCAGGTTAGCTAATATTTTACTGATCAAAAAAAAAAAAAACTCCTTGGTCCCTAGTCCGCGAGCGAAGTATACCGACCGAGTGATCGCCACTTGTCATCAAAGATGGTGCCAACTTTTGCGCATAGAGGGTGTCACGTGGTCAGCGCAACGGTTCTCCGCGGCCGTTAATCTCAGTTTTCCTTTAAATAGCTCCTCGATTGTCCTCACGAGGCTGAATGGGTCCCGTTCCAGACCCACTACTTCTCAGAAAATCTGGTAGCGCCGGGAAACGAACCCGGAACCTCTGGATCAGTAGCCAAGATCTCTGACCATTAGACCACACAGGCGGTGAAAGTTATACTCAGCAACACATGAGCCAGGATAATATAGCAAGTATAGCAACTGGCTAAGGGCTTGACGAATAAGGGGTTGGAGTTCGAGTCCCAGTAGATTCAAGAATTTTCTCTTCTCCATGTTGTCCAGACCTGCTCTGGGATCCACCCAGCCTCCTATCCAATGGGTACTGGGGACTCTTTTCCCAGGGGTAAAGCAGCAGGGGCGTGAAGCTGAAGCATACACTCACCTCCAACTAGTGCCAAGGTCAAGAAGATGTTGATCTATATATCCACTCCCCCATACAGTTTCATGGTATATTTTACTGATGTCACTGCGATTTTTAAATTAAGTCAAAAATTTCCTCACGCTTAATTTTGCGTTGTACTGATATGAATACATAAAGGCCCAGTCCGTATCTAACTGCACACATATTTACATGCGCTCTTCCCACTTAGGTTTTCCGAATTCGCAATCGAGTGGCTTTGGTTCCATCATACTGTATTTCAGCTCACTGTGCCTGACTAAGATATCTTTGAGAGTATGTCATAGAGACAACACTGAGGAAAACAAGTCTGCGGTATGGCGATTTCCGTTTCCCTTCATATGTTCAAAACAGAATCTAATAAGAGTATCGTCTTCTGGGATATAATGCCGTGAAATTCAAGCGACGTTTCGGATGATCATACCGCCTCCATCTTCAGGGTAGAATAATCTGCTTGTCCCCTGCTTTCATGTTGCTATCTTCCTCGACTTATTTGACCCTCAACATGGAGGCGATACGTTCCTCAGAAACGTCGGTTGACTTTCAGCAGACTACACGGCGTCATATCCCAGAAGATGTAACTGTTCATAACCACCGCTGTGAAAATCTCAAATCCTGCAGGATCTAGTAAGTTTCTAATCACGACGTAACGATTTGCGTCGCTATATGATGACGCAAAAACAAAGATACTGTAGACGCAGTAGCATATATAGTTGATGCGATCAGTATACGTGCTCTGGTTACCTTATTTAACTCATTTTGATAATGTCGCTAGATTCGACCCTACCTCACAAAGTTCGTGTGCCCGGTGCAGGAAGTTATAAGCAATACATTTAGAATAATCTCCAATGTCATAAAGCACATACCAAATTTCATCAAAACCCATTTATTGGTTTTCTAGTTGTAACATGCGTACGTACACAAGAAAATGCGTGACCACACCTATGCTTGTTTGTTTCTTGTACATCGTGCATAGAACGCACAATCAGGGAACTGAGATAAAGAGCAGAGCTGCTGCATTGTTTATTGTCTTTTGCGTCCTCTCTTTCCATACGCGTCCTGTAGTTTCTACGTGGCCATTGTTTCGCGTGGCTGCGTGATTCCACGCTTGATTTCGTGGGTATTTCTATGGAATTTTCATTATCGCGAAAGAATGTCCTCAATTGCATGATCAACGGAAAACTCTTTTCATTTTTACCACGAATAGAAATCCCCATTTACATGCACTTGCGGCTAATACAATTTACCTGATTGCAACTCCTGGAAATTCCTGGCAAAACCTGCAAGAAGGATATTAATTTCAACGTACAGTGACAATTATCGGTTGGTCAGACTCTTTCATGTGATTTCATTAAGATTCTAGGAATCAGAAAATAAATTAAACATAAAATACATAGGGTATACTTTCAGTGTTCGCCTATTATGGGCAATCATTGTTGCCAAGCGCATAAAGGAATTGAAATATTAGGTAAAGTTGTCCCTGTGCTCGACGAACTACGCACTACGCCATGAAGGTGTATGGGGAGTGGATGTATAGATCCACATTTTCTTGACCTCTGCAATAGCTGAAGATGAGTAGTAAGCTCCACGACCCTGCCGCTTTACCTCCGGGGAAAGAAACCCCGCTTCCAATTGTATTATTATTATTATTATTATTATTATTATTAT